CATGCCCATTTAATCGTCAGAGTTTGTTTTCTGGTTAGGCATTGCTAGACTCTCACTGTTTCCTGGAAATGCTGATTCAGAAACATAATGAATGGAACTTTTGCTTTAGTAAAACGTCATGGATTTCATTGTTTTCTCAGAAGACGGGCAACTACTTGTCTGTTTTTCCGTGCAATAACAACTCTATAGGATTGCTTATCTCCTTTCTTCTGTTGTTTTGCTGTACCGCTCCTTAGGATATTCTCCATACTTTAGTATTTTAATAGTAGAAATTCACTGGTAAATGGTAGTTTCTGATACTGAATAAAATCCTCGTTGATATATCTTCACTATGTACTTGCCAATAACACCATAAGAAAAACCATAAAGCATATGAAGTAGTGGTCACTACAATGAACTGGTATGCTATCGACGTGGCACCATTTTGATTTTAACAAGGTATCATTATCTGTAATATCCTGGAAAATCTTTAGAAAATCCTTGAATGCCAGGTTTAGCTCATTATCCTTTTCAGCTTGATTTAATTGCCTCCATTTTCGAATATCGTCAAGAAAAACTGCGTCGGACGTCGAAAAACTCCTCACTTAGAGACCGGCACCGTCGAATCGAGCATTGCTAGCCAATCGTGTTGTTGTTCATCATCTAGTCATCTAACTGAATTCTCTATTTTTATGATCTTAACGTCACTAGTGCAACTTATATAACCTTTCCACCTCTCATCCTCTTCGTGAAGACTTGAGCTTGAAATAAGCTACAACACGACTCTACGATGCAGTTGAACGACGACGGCGACGATGGAGGTGATGAAGTGTGGGAAAGAAGACTAAAAGAACGATGACAGTCTCGTTGTTTAGCAGAATAGGAACTGACGAGTCCCGACTCAACAAATCTCCATCGTTTACACAATTTTTTTTCTTAGAAATCTTTCAAAACACCTCTTTTTTAAGCAACGTTCGAAAAATTTTTTTCCATGGCTGCTTCCTACTAGTATTTCAATAAGATTTCATCTTAGCTCGTTCGTCGTTGATCAATCCCTTGCGATTACATTTGCATTCAACTCCATTTATGGCATACTTGATGGAACTTAATGGATAAATGGATATTTGACCTATACATAAATTGCGGAGCCTGCTGAGTTATCAGGTCAGTGTTTTTATCCCCCAGTCGACTCTGGTACCAATTTTCCAACATCGTAGTGGCGGATGACTTCGTTTTTCTTGACTCATGGTGGAACCAATGACTAAGTTTGTATTGTAGGCCACGTCTAACTACTACACTACGTGCACACTTTATAACCGTTGTGGAAAGTATTACTACTGCATATGAAAACCACTGAGAGACTTAATATTGCAGCAAAATGTTTACGTAGTGCAGCTTAGATATAGCTTTTGATCGTTTTTAATACGGAAGACTGTTTAACTCTCGAGCACATACAGAGGCTGCATGTCCACCTTAGTTGTTTTCTTCGAAGAACTTAGACACTGCATTCTATCTAAACATGCTCCTTCTTCCATGGCTCCTTCTAAAAGCGATTAGAAGTGATGACTAATAATCCATGGCTAGTTAGTTGGTTATCTAGAAAGCTCCGAAATGAAAAAGATGTGTTAAAATTTCATTCGCGATCCTTTTTATTTTGCTCTAAATTACTTCCGCTGACAAGATGTACGTTGTTAAAATTTTTAATACACACTAGAGAACACTTTTGGACGCAAACATATCAAGTCGAACCTTATTTTACTTCTATTCATTCACACCTAAGAATTTACGAGTGTCGATGACCACTACTGGCTGGAATCGACGAGTGGTTTCGATGAGCGATTATGTAGATTGTCGTCAACGCCTCCCACCAGCCGTTCGCGATCCGCTCATTTTCAAGCGTACGTTGTACTAACGCCCTTAATCTTATTTTAAACTGGTAACTTTTAACTCGCACTTGTTCTGTGTATATTGACGTGATGCTGATTGGATCCAGCTTTCCGAAGTTTTCTCTGCATAGTTTTTTATTCGCTATGTTGGTGTCGACGTGCGCCTTCACTCGTATTGTTTGGATGTTACGATGTTTGTCGTAGACTCCTATGCGTATCGAAAGTCGCATAATATCATAGTATTTGTGCATGATTACCCGACAATCGATTTCGATAGGGAACTGGTTCCAGTGTTCCGGAGGACCTTGGGGAGATTGTCCGCTCCTCAATCGTGTCGAATGTGAGCTGCTGTATGTAGTATGCATACAACATACGATTACGAACATATTTTCATTTACATGTGCATATAGTAGTTTCCTGTATTTTTCGATCTATAGACACGAATACCATCCTTCTTATCTCCACCATCATCCTCGTCACCTTCTTCTTCATCGTCACAACACATCTCACTCATGTAGGCGACTCATTGAAACCAGGTGGATCAACCAAACATGAGCGTTATCAGATACACGGGACTTGTCCGTCATACACCTGGCTATCGTTTGGACAAAAATTGATGATGAAGCAGTAGTGTCAATCAGATTTCGCAAAATAGTGTGGAATTTAATGAGTTTGCTGTGCATTTGTGTAAACTTCACATTTTCAGTTCTCCTTTGAACCTGTCTGTATTTGAATTCATGTGTGTGTTTTTTCTTCCGCAAACTACATCGTCTATACCAGACTTAGAAAGCTAGACAATCATGCTATATATGCAAAAGAAAATTTGGTGAACTCGTAAGTCATTTGCCTGATATAAATCGCGTTTTTTTAGTCTGAGATCTGGTCACATCACTTACTAGTCGTTTTTGGTTACAGCAGCAACAGATGCACATGAGAACCTCATCACCTGCACTTGTAATGGTGTAGACCTCCTATTTATAATTTATTAGTGGCAGGCTAGTATTAACAAACCTTGTAATCGTTTTTCTCTGAAACATGCTCTGAAACATTTTATGGTCAAAAGTTCTTACGTCACTTGTCTCAAGTCGGGTTTCACAATTGTGCTGGATTCATTTCGCGTAGCTCTGGTCTTTAGTTAGCTTTATGAATGATGAGCGAACATGGATTCCCTCAAGCGCCAGAAAACTACAATTATCACCTTAGACGTTAATGATCACAGTGGTGACATTAACGTTCAAGCGTCAGCACTGTGATCATTAACGTCCCCTTATGGGCACTTTGCACACGACACGCTGTCAGTCGGCTATTCCCATCACCATATTCTTTTCCACCTCATCAGGACATGTTAGCGTAGTTCTCTATTGAGCTTCTTCTTTTACTCTTTCTATTTGCTCCTTAACTGCTAGTCCTACTTAAGATTTACTGTTCAAATGAATGAGCTTGTTCGTTTAGAGCGTTCTGTAATGATGAAGCAGTTTCACATTAAAACGCATTTAGAGAAGAAACTATGATAAGCAGTGATCATCAACTTATCATTTCCATTAAAAAAGAATATGGTGGTGTTCTCATTTTAACTGGAAAGATTTTCGACTTGTCAGTTTTCTATGCTTTGTTATTTTGATGTTCATCAAGGCTATCGATTTGTATTCCAGACGATTTATCTCATTTTTCGCAAACCAAAGCAAGCCAGTTTGAGATGATCAGCACACAGGTCACAGCTCATACTATATAAAATTCTTTACCACTGACTTATCGTTAGGTTCTTTACGGTATGAGCTGAGAGGACTATTCAACGCAATCCGAGAAGGAAATCACATTAACGTACGAGAAAAGGAGTTGTGTGCGTGCTAACTTTATAGTGGACTCTACTGGTTTTTTCACTAGACAGTTCTTAAATCGACGAGAGTTTGTCGTAGTATGTTTCAGTGAATGAGATTTCAGCGGAAGATATCACACACTATCATTAAAAACATGTTTCTATTATGTGTGCATCGATAAAATGTGAAGATCACCCGCATGTATATGTATATATATATATATAGGCATAAATACAGCTTATTTATTTACTCAATTATTTGTCTATTTGTTTATTTATTTGTATTTCGTTATCCGTAATATTCCGTGAAGTGAATATCATAGGGCGTTCCTCGCATTCCCATCAATTAAGTTTCATTGATAATAGAGGTAAATTAAAGCCGTCTATCTAATCCTCGATGGAATATCAAGCCGCAGAAACGGTATGATTTCTATCAAAGTACATACTTCATGTGTTTGCCATGGGAAAATGTGTAATCGCGACCACTTTAGAGAGAAAGCTTCGTGAAGTATGTTAGCGTCACGTCATTTACGAATAATGTGCAACGACGAGATTTCACATCTGACTGTTTCTATTTTAGCAAGCTGCTGTACTACAGTTGTTGTGTACTTCTAATTTTATCGTTGGAAGGCTTATAATGCTCTTCTTCTAAATATTAAAGATCTACATTAGTGTACTTGTACTTGTACGAAATCGTTGCCACTACTCCGTTATTCAACCAAATTTTCAGTGGCTCCTGTCCACGGTTAACCATCTGCTTTACAGCTATTACCTCCTAATCAATCACAGAGTAATTTTGTGTTTGGTTTATTAAGACATCCTTATAAGTGAATTGTTATTTTCAAATTAAGAACACGAGCGAAACTCTGGTAACGAGTGGTGAACTAGAACTCTTAGCAGGGAGAAAGATCTGATAATCAAAGATGGAAGATCAACTATCATTGTCAGTTATGCTTGATCGTAACTCACATATGATTCCCATCTCATCTGATTTTTTCATGTGACAATATTCTATGAAATAAGTTATTACCAAACAAGCCAAAATTCTATAATACTCAGTTTGAAATTCGATGTCGTAGTCGTTCTGGAAATGTAAACAACAGTTTTTCATATCTACAGACACTTCACCAATGATATTGGTGACACACAGGACTACTACTCAATGTCCTATGTTCATCTGATGCCGGCGGGAAGAAACTCACCATGTCGTGCTTGGATCCGGATTGTCTGGCTGTTATCGATGGTCGATTGCGTATAGATGGAGTTGATATGTTCCTCCGTTGGTGGTCAGGTAGCCTGACTGACCCGCTGTGTATGTCTGCGGTCGCCCACTTGAGGTCTCACTACCTCCTGCCTGTCCGTCCGTCCTCCCTCTCTGGCGCCTCCTCTTGTACTGACACTCACTCACGCCCTGCTCCATGCACATCACGTACCGGTCGCATTTTCTTCATCTATTCATCATTGCTTTTCACTTTTCTATCATTTCGCCTTTCTTCTGTTGACTCTGATTTCCTGGATTCCATGCAAAAACTTCGTTCATGGTGCAATCTCGCGTTTGATTTTCTGTTCGCTGACTTTTTCTTTTCTCTGTGCACCAAAATCTTGTAAACACCCGTAAAGAAAAATGCTGTTTTTTCTTAGAGCAATGGTGACCTCGATATTGTTTCAACTGTTCATGGTCCAATTAAGCGCAGGTGAGATTTTAACAAGCGAATAAATAAGTGCATTCTTTGTGTCTAATGAACTAAGATGATTTGTACCGTATCTGTGAATTAATGACGATCAATGTTTGCTACTAGTTTAAATTTTCAGCACAAATACAGCAGATGCTTGGAGCTCAAGTGAAAATCACTGATATGCCGTTCGCTGTCTCAAACGCTCAACAACTCAATACGATTGTATGGACAATGCTCGGTACGACAACGAAGGAGACAATCTACTGTGTTTCTGAAGCTCCCGTCAGTCAACTGCGATTTGTCTGCATCGACTGTCTGGAAAAGAACATTACCGATATGGCAAACGTCCTTAATTCTGCTCAGGATCACACTCGAAGTGCTGGCTTTCCGGTTTGTCGTTTATTTTACTGCTGTTCCTGTCTATATTTGTGTTTCCCAATTTTGAGTTCAATCCATGAAGTCAAATAAAACAAAAAATGAGCACAGAATACGTCCTTTTTTGTGTCAATGAATGTACATACACTAAGGCGTCGGTCAGTGTGCCCTTTCGCTTTCCTCACACACGATCTTCTGATTCATTCATCGTCGCTACTATCAAGCAACGCTTCAACCGTCCATTCACGCTGTCTCATCTCCTCTTCAAAAACGACCGTATGCGGTTAATTTAGCAGTTAATGGAACTGGTAGCGCTCAAATATGCGAGCGGTGTACTTGTAAGAAAACATTCAAAACTGCAAAAATTGCTACCTAAGATGTGCTTCGCTGAGCACGAAATCAAGGTCGTCGTCGTGAATAACGGAATTCATTGTTCTATTTCCATAGCACATGAGTTCAAAATCAAATGTGATTTATTGAAACAATTATGTGTAACTAATGTGACCCAGTTTTATTAATTATTGGAAATGTCGATGTGGTGAACGGCGTGTTACCTGCTCATTCTGGTAAAATAAGCCCATCGTCCGAGGTCAAGGTTGAGTGTCTATCCAGATGAGAAAGGCAGGGACCGCCTGTAAGGCACCGCTTGACCCACGGATTAGCACACATTGACCGACAATACTCAGTCGCTCCGTTATGATTTTAAGATGGTAACATTTAATTACTCTAAATGGTGGTGGAAGAGGTGATTTGAAACAATTCTTATAAAAATTCTTTCTGAAACGTCATTATAGTTTGTTGTCATCGTTTCGGTATTAATATCGTGATATCTTGGCAAGAATAATCAACGTTTCATTCCTAATCTCTTGCTTTCTTGATATAAGGTTGCCACTGCACTATAGAAGACAACAAACTCGGTCAAGATATGTCGCAGTTATATAAACCAGTTCACAATCAATTTCAAAGTTAACTGCACTACATCATCTTCTACTCACTATTTCCATAAAAATAAACAACCTATTGATAAAATCTGGAATTTCTTACAGTACAACTCCTCAATCACTTATGCAAATTATTGGCTTAATTATGATAACACGATATTCCTTGCTACTTTTAAATACAGGAAGACGGTACATTAACACCTATTTACGACTTATGAATGTTTCGAAGCGTTGTTCTTGATCATCGGTCGTCTGGAGTTCTATGAGAACAGTGACCGTTGTCGCTTGGTAAGCGTTGTAGCTCGAATAAATATAGTCTGATACGTGTTTTTGTCAGGCGTATTCTGGGAACGTGGTGAGACATCGGCCAAAGAAACTGACTCTCATGTATTACGAATTCCTTAGATCTAAGCAGTAATTCGAACACGTTCGATCCAGTTGCTTTCCTTTCGTGTCCGTCGTTTTTTTTTTGTTTTTTTTTTCCTTTTTTTCTCACGTCTCGCTATTCTAAACACTCTTCACATGCTCACTGCATAACTGGTTGTTACAAACCAGGAACTCCATAATGAGATAAGTGCTTAAGCAAGCGGCACACCGTAACGGAACCTGATTTCGAAAAATACTGATGACAATGATGATAAAAACTTCTTTAGATTATCCAGTAATTTACCATATCTGTACATACACTAAGCTCAACTTCATATTCATATTTCATGGTTCTGATGCATTTATTTGAGTACTTCCACAATTTTCGTGGACTTTATTAACAATATTGAAAATGGAGATGATACCTTTGGCTGTAAATATGTTAACTGATTGCTGACACAAGAAGGAGAATTTTGTTGGAGCAGTTTTTCTTTCTCGAAAACAACATTTGCGAACATCGTTCTTCGTTCGCCACTTTTAAGACTTTGCTTTTTTCTTTCTTATTTTCCTCGAGATTTTTTGTCGTTGTTCTGTCGGCCACTTTTGAATACTTTCGTCTTAAGACTGTGGCGCTGAGCAATATCGCTGTGAATACGAATTGGACTGGTGCCACTATTATGTGTCAAGCAGCTCTTAACGGAGGTAAGCACACCTTAATGGCTTGGTAAAATAACTTCATTAACATAATTTTTTTAATGCAGGCACTGTTGACTCACAACCGGCTACCATAGACGTGCGTTATTTACGTCAACCACATGTGGTTGACGCAAGTGGTCAAGGACCAGTGCTAATCGCCAATCAAGGCTACCGGTGTGTACTTTATGACATTCTTACAGTTTTTGAATTTGGTCAGACGTCATCATTCAGATTTTACGTAGAATGTGCTCGTGGAGCCGACGGACTCTGTCAACAAAGTGGACGGCGGAAGACGCTTCGTTGCGCTGTTCAATCCCATCCACCGGCAACAGTGTTCCGGTGGTTGAAAAATGGAGTCGTAACAAGGTTATTGATCAGTGGAAACATTTGAAACATCACACTGGAACATATAGTGGCACACTTAAAAGACTTAGATTGAAATCTAAATTAAAATGGATTGACAGATTGAGAGATGTGAAAGAGGCAGTCATCATTACTCTCTTGCTACAAACATTTTGCTGACACTAAAGTCTGGCTCTGTCAAAATCCAGATTTGGCTTTCAATTTAGAGTTATTTTTTTTAAAGCGGTGACAAATATTATTTGTACTACACTATCACTCTGAAACTGAAAAGGAGTAGAGAACCTCGAATGCTAACGTATCCATACCAATGTGTTTAGTGGCAACGGTGCAGAAATCACTATTGGGACGGAGATGATCGGACAAAGTATTCAATGTCAAGCGAACAACGGTCTCTATTCAGACACGGAAATGGCGACCAGCCAAGCCGTTCAGATCGATCCCTATTGTACGCAAGTTACATTCCTTTAGTGAAGGATGGGAATATTGATTATTAACATTCATTAGAACGTTTACTTCATTTTTAGAGCAAAGATTTATGAAATATTAACCGACTTCACTAAAGGCTTCATAATTCAGAAGAGGCCGGTTCTTTTTTTTCCTCGTCATAAATTATAGCCGAACTCATGAAAAAGTGCGACATATGCGTTCGTGAGCGATCTTCTATTAGATGAAACTCATGATTTTTATGTTGCATTGAGCCGATTTTGTTTGATCTAATCATGTTCCGGGTTTCATGAAGGAAATGATATACCCATCTTTTCCTTGTAGTGACATGAACTATCTTTGAAATGACATCTCTTTTGTATGAAAGTGCAGTTTTATGGAATGCCATTTGTCGAAAAGACGCATCCACTTAAATCTCCATTATTGACTGTGCGAACCAATTGGCGAATGGTAGAAGCAAGCTTTTCTAAAAATTATATCTGAATAGTTTTAACTTTTTGTTTTCTGCCCATCATTATTTTACACGGCAGGGTATGATGTGAAATACATCCACTACGCCACTGAGGTATTTGGAAAACTTGGACTACAGGCCAGATCGAACATACGATTACCATTTCCTGAGGCTCACGTGTTACCCACTGCATCACTGAGGCCCTTTTCTTGCCTTTCTGTCAGCCTGTTTTCCACCTTACGGTGCCATCAGCAATCACCCGTAAACAGGAATGATCTGGAGAGCACAAATCAGCATTCAACCTAGTTAAGTTGAGGCTGTAGTCGAAATCACGGCGTTAACTTTTTATTTACTGCCTATTATTGTTCTTCTACGCAGGCTAACATGTTAAAGACAGCCACTATTTTTAATGGCGGCTGATTACTGATGCATCGTTAGGTAGAAAACTGGCTGAAAGAAAGGCAAGGCAAAACAAAAGCCCTCAGTGGTACGTTAGGTAATAAATGAGCCTCCGGAAAAGGTACCCATGGGTTTAACCTGGCCTGTGGTCCAACTTTTGCAAACAACTCAGCACCATGATGGTTATGCATGAATGCTTGGACCGTGGTTTCCACGGATCTGCTACACTCAGTAAACTTTTCCTTTTCTCATTCATCTTTTCAACTCACAACGTTCATTTATGGAGGTTGTCTGCTACAGACAAGATGACTTTGCCAATTTCGTTTCCCCGTCGCTGAAACACTGTCTTGCTCCGAACGCAGTTGTTCCGGCACTAAATACATGCTGTAGGTTGCTTGTCTTGAAGATGTTTCCACCATTATCTTGGATTATCCCTATCGATATTTGTGCGCTCTTGTTACTGGCCCTCCTAAGCACTTGATTGACCCACATATTAGGGAAACCTGTGGACAATACTATGTTGAATGTGTGGTTACGACAAATGCCATTAATTTTCCTGGCTTTTTCACTTTCTTGTAGCTCTACTGTTTACCGTTATAGATTGAAGGAAAACTTCGTTTTGATGTAGACGAAACACGTTGCCTTTCAGCATCTGCTCGCCTTATACAAGACAACTTCGCTACGCTGCAATCAGCGGCACCATTTCAAGCCGGTAATCGTCTTGAAATGAACCAACAGATAAATCTCGGTTGTCAAGTTGAAGGCAATCCACGTCCAGTAGTATTTTGGAAATTGCGTAAATCGAACGGACAGGTGTATCGACGTTTTGTTCATTGCGTATAAGAGCAATCAAACGTTATGGTAAAGGAAATTAGGGTGGTTGTCCTTATTGTAGGTTGTTGACGCTCCTTGTGCTCAAGGATTCGACGGACAATACCAGGAGGTCACCGATTCACCACGCGATCGACCTATCCCACCGAATGTCGTGGTATGCTAATTAATCATTATCGTACAATTAATTAATTAATCGTACAATTTACAACAAAAATTACGGCGTTAAAAATTCATGTCCATTAAGTCATTATCTATAATCTGCAGCGACTCAATGCTATATGCTCGTTTCGCGTCTCAAATTACTCTCTATCTGGACAGTACTGGTGTTCTGCCTGTTCTTATGTGAGCCAAGGAGCACCAGAGTGTTCACCTGCACTAGAGACTCCCGGTACGAATACGCTGAATATTCAAGTCACTGGTCCACCGATGCAGTCAGACACACAGCCCACTATAGAGCAGGTGTGTTGAGTTGTCGACTGACTGTTCTTGTTGTCCGAATGATTCAGCTTTGATTACTACTGCTATTGCTGGATTGGACATTATTGTTTAGACCCACGGAAACAACAACGCTGTGGTGACTGTGCATTATTGCGCTGAACCGATGCCTAGGCCACCAAGAGAAGTCATCTTCAGTATTGACAAAAACGATCTACAGGTATCCATTATGAAATTTTAAAGCGTCTTTAGACGTCATTGTCGGAGATTGCGAATTGGCTTTGTTTGTACATGTGCTGGGTCATGAAATTTGGGTTACAGAGATTTCTTTATTAGCGCACAAATTCTGACAACAGTAGGAGGATAATCATATCCGGAATAAACATTCCAATCTTCAGACAACACCAGCTTTTATTTCTGTTAAAAAAAAACACCAAATTTCACAATGTCGGTGACAAAGAATTTCAAATGTCTGCGCTGTAAATGGTTTCACTTTCAGCTGGAAACCTTACTTAGTAAAGAAAAAGGTATACTGTAGCTGATACTAAAACAGCCTACGCGCACTAATGATTTAATTACTCCGTGCCGAAATATTGATTTTTACAAAAAGCACTGCTCAACGGGAAGGTTTGTGTGCTTATCATTTCATTTTTCGAGATTCTCTTTTGCGATTTTGATTTCAACACAGAGACTATTCGAAGAGAAATAGTGTTCGCATTCACTGTGAAATGAAGCTTATTTGATCCAGCAAAAGCCTTTTGACACGATTTTTCTTCCAATATAACAATCTGGTCCTACGAGAAGTTGTTGTTTTCTTCTTGAGTAAACGCAAGATTGTTAATAACAAGCTTTATTCACTACAATATTGACTGACGTTTCGGCGGATTACCACTTCTTCAATGCCCCGAAAAGGTCAAGTTAATTGCAGCCTACTGATTCAAATACGTCCTATTCGCATTGGAATTAAAACAGAAAAAAACAGAAGTTTCCAGGCACTTCAGAGTACCAAATTTGCATAAACGTCAGTCCGCATTGTATTGTTATTATTACACTTTGTTATTAACAACCTCATGTTTGGTGAAGAAGAAAACACTAACTTATTTAACAATTCCAGGGTTGATGGAAAGACGATCCTAGGAATGCCTATGAAAAGTCTCAAAAATGGACACCTTTATAGGTGACTTAAAAGCGTTGATTGCTTCTCACCCGAATACAAGTAAACCTATAATATTAGTACTTATTTTATTACGTTAATCATGAGCTAGACAAGAAATAAGTGGAACCCTTGAACACAGTTGACTGCTCAGTTGGCAAAATTTCAATGATCATATCTGGAATACTGAAACGAGAGCGTTCCCATAAGTTGCAAGAATACGATAACAAGTTTGTTTCCATCATTACTACTATGAAAGCATAATAAAAATTTCATAACTTTTAAAGTTGGACGAGAATACAATGGATGGATGGAATGAAGTCCATGCTGAGATCTTCCAAGGATTAACTATATCTGATTGAAAAAAATAGTGTTTTGTTGGCACAGTTTCCATTTTGCTCATTCATGATTGGCGGTGACTCCGTTCTTTTCAGATTGGTCAATCTTGGGAGAACTTTCGTTTTGAAAGTACGACACAAAACAACACAGTTCCAAACTGTTATCTTGCTCGATTGAATGTAGCTCCAGTTCGAGAAGAGGATCAATATAGATTGATCGAGTTACGGCTGCAAAACCAATATGGAAGCAAAGTGTACTTTTTTAAAAATTTCGTTCAATAGGGTGAAGTGTGAAAGCTTTCAATACGTTGAAAACCACCTATGAATTTTAATAGTAAAATCCAAGTGACGAGTGAAAATAAAGTATAGCTATAACTATTTAAGTAGAAATAAGTCTCGAATAGATATTGATCCGAAAGTGCTCTTGTCTAGGATGCCCGTTTCGTTGGAAGCGTTGCTGGGTGGTGGAGCAGCAAGTGGCGCTCGAATTTCTGGATGGTGGATCGCCTTCTTTATTTTGATAGCCATTTGCCTTGCCCTGATCTGCTGTGTGGCATTTTGTGTTAGACGTGGAGTACTCTGTTTTAATAGTAAGTTTGTGAAGTCGAATATAACCCATTGTTCTGATCATTATCAGTTTTACGTCTTTCTAGGGGTCAAAGAAGAATCCGACTACGAGCCGAAGGCTAAAGCGAAGTAGTTTTTTGTTCTCCTTTAGAGCTTTCGCACATTTTATTTTTAACTAAAAAACATTTTAGTTTGAATGTCCGTGAAAACTTCTACGACGCAGAGGCACCACGACTGTATACGCCACAATCTATTGAGGTATGCGAACCAGCCATGGGTGTCTATCTGAGCAGAGAAGCAGTCGTGTGATCCACCACCACCGTCTCAACTTATTCACTCTGTAGTTTGCAATACCATGTTTTTTCTGGGCGTTATGTTCACCCACGTGGCTCCTTCTTCCCTCTTTACCTCTTCACTGTTCTCATTTTCTCGTTGCTTCCCGCTCTCACGTTTGTACAGGCACGAATACAACGTCGTTTACTGTCTTGCGGAATGTAGTGCTAGGCCCAAATCGTCTCTTTCCATCGGTGAGAGACTGACGAAAGCATTTTCGCGACAAGACGGAAGTCTATTTAGTGTGCGAATGCAGTGGTTATTCTGATTACTCACTATCATCAGCTCCTTCGCTATTGTATAATCGCTGTTCACTTCACCCTTCTGTGATCTCGTCGTTTTTAGAATAGCCCATACGACCTGGCCGTGCAAGCCGCCTACTGCGACTCCCGCATGTCATCCGTATAATGTGAGCCTTGGTTTGCTTCTATATCTATTAATTTCTCACCTTTCACATTCTAACCACGCCTCGATGCTGCTTAGCGTTATCTGAAAGCTCTATGCTACAATGCGCATTGTCAGAGAGAACAGCACAAAGCTCTTCCGATAGTTTCATTCAGTTTAACTAATTCAGTGGGCAAATACAATCATCTGTATTGGCAAGCGTTGTACAGCTCGTATCCATGTGGCATCGTTGCGATCGGTGTGAACGTAGTTAAGCTTTTCATGTTGCTTTGTGTTTAGAATGCAGGCAGCTACCACGAAGGCGTCAACTACGCCGAAATGCGCCTTACGGGTCAACCGCCTGCGCCGTCGTCACAACCCACGTTGCCACCTCGTCCGTTGCTGCAATCATATGCATCGTCTGTCCAGTCCATAGTCTGATCATTTCTGTCATTAGAGCTTCGTTACTCAGTAATTATTCTGTCCAACTTTGCGCAGATTCTCAACACTACCACATGCTCTCTGTAGAAGAGGTGTCGACATTATGTCCGTATTCCATGACTGCCACTGTGCCTTCTAACTTACTTAAACGACCATCATATTCAGGATGTTTGTTCATTAGTCTCATTATCGTCATTTTCTCCAGGACCATGTTTACATGCTCACATTACGCGTGTGTTTGTGTATGTATTTATGTATGTATGTGTGTGTATGTGTGTGCGTGTGTGTCTATGTATGTGCATGCATGTATGTATCTATTTGTCTATATGTTTATGTTTTTTGCTTGTAAAATTCATTGATGTTTTTCATTTCTTGTTCGTCTTTATCGCTGATGATGTTAATATTTCTAACCATGCGATAGTGAGTCGTGTCATACGCAGGCGTACGAAAAGGCTTGATCTCGGGTGCAGATAGTAGAACTGAAGCGGTTCATTTCGCTTTATCTCATATTCGACCATACACGACGATAACTTGCTATCACATTCGGGTTCTTGATAGGTGTCTAGGATCAACGCCATGCATTTATAGTTGTTCGCTAATGTTATCAGTGCGTTGAGTACTACTAAATTTCTATACGTCTATTCTATTTTCCTTTTTATTCTCTTTTTTTTCTATTCTTTCTCTGACCAATTTATCCTCATTCATGCTCCAGACGAGGTGCCTCGCTGAATCCTGTAAAGTCCGTTGCTCTTACTAAAAAAGGCTCTCTTCCTCATTTCTACTGAAGCCATGCTCATCTTTTTCTGTGAACCAAGTTCATGCCAATTTTGTTTCGTCGTTCCATGCATTTGCACCACATCGTTGGAAATCGAATAAATATGTATATTTATTAACAAACTGAATCGTTTTGAAAATCTCAAAGTGCATATATAGGCAAAGTACATCAGAGGAATTGAGTTAATGATTTCTTCTTGGGTTTTCGCAGACCTAGATGTAAGCGATGTCATTGTCGTAGAATGCTTCTCCCTTCCACTTTCCTTTCTTCTTCAGGTTGTGAGCACAACGGTTTATCACTGAAAAGTATGAAGTAGGAAATTAGTTTATTTGAAATGAAAAACTAAACGGAGAACTTGAACATGAGGAAATATGTAGTGCAAAAAATAAAAACACAGTTTGATAATTGTGTTTGTTCATGATACATTTGCGATTGTGCAAACACCTTATAGTTCTTTGTAACTAGGTGGTTTTTCGATAACCTAACATAAAGGAAGGCCTATAGAGGGTATTTCAACTTATGCCTTTAAAGATACACATGGTTTTCCGAAATGATCATTTGCTTTCCAAACTTTTCAAGAATGATTAATAAGTTGTTGAAGTACTCAACACCAATACGACGAGCAGTCGACAAAGTTGCCGAACTCAGGGAAGCCATGGCGTTGTTTTGAACAATAACCAGCTTTCGCAATCGCTTTGATTTCATGCCTCAGTCCTCGACAACGAAAAGAAAAAAAGAAGTGCTTGGATAAGCTTTGAAAAAATCCACTACCGGCAAAACCCTTCTCGGCCGTGATACCTGGATTATAATAGTTTTGATCGACATTGAAGCTCAGAGTGGTTCTGTTTGTTACATTGTCCTCAAGCTGTCTGTAGAGTAAGTGAATGATTCGCTGTTGTCACATAGATGGTCGTGGTCCTCGAAGAATCCGTGTCACAAGTCAGGAGATTTCTAGTCTGGGCAATTGAGTTTTTAGAGGAAATTATATTCCACCAGCACTACACGTATTGATCAGAGGATATAGCAAAGTCTTATGTTTCAGCTGAAATGTGAAGACAGGTTGGCTTAGCATATGCGTAGACAGCTAAATAACTAAGTAAACAATGAGCTAAGATATACTCGTTTAAACTAAACGAAGTAGTATATTTTTGGTCAGTCCTCTTTGAAATCAATACATGGCTGCTTGTAGTAGGCTGCCGACATATCAAGTCAATGTTACCTGTCTTCCCAGACAAGTCTTCTACCAATTTTTCGACTGTTAAGGGATAGGAGTGGGCCTGCTAAAGCTGGTGTAAAGGTCAAAGCGATGACAATGTGTGTATTCCAGCGTATTTCAGACGACGAAATGGCGAACGGTAACTCCGAAAAATCTGCTTCTATGAATTTAAACGGCGACGTAATGCAATGAAACGATTCAAAACGTTTGAAAAAATGTGGTTTCAAGAATATTTTAACATTGAAACCCTGGTTTGGAAAATTAGGTAGTAACGAATTTGACTTTGAGAGAGCTCACGGACGCCCTCCTGCAATACAAGACGATGATTTGAAGGCTTCGGTAGAAGGAAACACATGCACAGCTGCTCGAGAACTTGCAAAAAATCTCAGCCTAGGTATTTCAGCTGTTTCAAAGCATCTAAAGAAAAGTTGAAAGTCGAGGAAGCTAGACAAATGGTTACCACTTGCATTGAGTGACCATCCAAGAAATCGTATTTGAGGCATCGTCGGCGATTTTTATGTGCAATTAGAACAGCAGGTTTCTAAATCGATCGTATTGTGATGTGAGACCAGAATTGAATCCTCTACGACAACTGGCGGCGAACGGCTCATTGGTTGGACCTAGATGAAGCTCAACAGCAATTCGCAAGGGCGAAATTGCAACAAGAAGGTCATATTGATTGTTTGGTGGTCTCCAGGTGATATGATCCACCACAGCTTCCTGAATCTGAGCTAAGCGATTAGAGTGGAGAGTTATGTCCAGATAATCGATGGAACGCACAAGGAATTTCAACGGCTGCGACCTGTATTAGTCAACACAGAGACCAATCTTTCTCGACGGTAACGCGTGGCCACACCCTCGTACTATCGACGTATCTACTGCTGCCTAACCAGTGCTACGAAACTCTGTCTCATTTACCACATTTATTGGTCCTGTCGCCTACTGACTACTAGTTCAAGCATCTCGATAATTTCCTGTGCGAGAATGCTTAAGAAAACGAGCCGATGACGAAACTGTCTTCAATGACTTCATCGCTTCCAGAAATCTGAAATTTTATCAAACTATTAAAGGTGAATTTGTTTCTTGTTGGCCAAAGCGTGTAGATTCTACTGGACCTCTGTTTTGACTAATATATTCTATTCTGAGTTCAGATACACCCTTTTGAAAATACAGGTTAAAATTGGGCATTGTTTTGCTGAGAACCTAGTAATAATAACAACAATAATCGCGATGATAATTCTGAGACACTGACTAAGAGCAAATTTCAGTATAGTAGTGGCACGCAGTCATCAGGTTAATGTCAGTTAAATGGGACCAATCACATAGAATAATGGCGTTTCATTCCATTGCGTTTGTTTTTTCTGCTATAGGGAACTCAAAAAATATAGAAGTCTAAAACTCTTACTTGCGCGTTGATCGTCAGTGAAACGCATTTCCGGAACACGATCGCTGGTTTTATAGCATCTGAAATGAAAAAAACCACTGCATGTGGGCGGGGAATTTCTTTAAAAGGGGTTTCTCCAAAAACTTGTCTCTTTACTGATCAGTAACATAGTTTACCGTTTAAGCAGAATCCCGAGCAGAACAATAAACGACGCTAGATACAGGTAGATCCCCGTCTGAAATGTGTACTAAAAAAACTATCAAATTGTATAGTTTAATAAAATTAGTTGCTTTTGGGCAAATGTAAACATAAGGCATAGTTTTTTACGAAGTTTTTTCTATTGGGAAAAAATGAAGTTACACTAGCTTTCACATGATAGTGTATTAAGAAGCAAGGAAATGAAGCAGAACCAAAACATATAAGGATAAGGATGAAGCTCTTGGCGTTGATCCCTTGGGGTTGCACCATGTACTCGACTTCATTGAGCAACGCTTGAAGACGAATGAATGCATATCTGACATTTATAATGATTCACGGTGGCCTACCGATGACCGTTGTATCGCGCTAGTGCTGCTATCCTCCCAGACAAGTTTGGTAGTTTGCTGAACTCGGAGGGCTAGAAGACATGGTGAGCCACGGATGCGGAGATCGATCTCACGTGCGCGTCGCAGGGCGCTTCCGACCACTGCGCCACACGCGTTGCACCAAAAGCATAAGTAGTATTATGTCATATCGGACATTGAATATTGTGTTATTAGACATTGCTCAATTTAACGTCGTTTTTGCCAGATTTTTTAACTGTACTTATCTGCTACCGTATGTACTTTGTTAAAATTGATTAATACAATATCGTCATAAAAACACATTTTCATATAACCATAGAATGAACGTGTACGGGCACGTGTGGCGCAGTGGGTGGAGGCCCCTGCGATACACATGTGAAATCGATCCCAGCACCCATGGCTCACCAAACCTTCCATCCCTCTGGGATCGGAAAATTGGTACGAGAGCTCTCTGGGAGGATAGCAGCACTGGCACGATACATTCCGTAGGCCACCGCAATTCGTTGTAAAAGCCAGATATGCATTCAGTTACCTCCAACGATACTTAATGAAGTCGAATGCATGGCGCATCCCTCAGGGATTGATCAACGCCGAGAAATTCACCCTTTTTTATTTGTAGAATGAAATTATATATAAACGACGAAGGGAACATATAAAAGACTTTTCGGTTTGCTATGGATTTTTAAGATTACATCTTTGTAACTGGTGCAGTTTCTTAAATTCTGAAATGGCATACCGTATGACATAGGGAGGTGTAAGTGCTGCTGAATGCACCATCTCTCACTGCTTTGTCCTGCGACCTTGAAATATTTCCATGAAGAAAAGAAAAAGAAATACCTTTTAAAAGAATTGTTGGTTCACGATTTTCTGTGATCCTAAGTGATTTTTTTTCCTTTTCCTTTTAGCTTTAAAAGATATTCGCATGGTATCTTTTCAGCTACTCAGTGTATTTTGTTTTGCAAGACGATCTGGGCACTAGCTTGTACCTGTACCACTATTATGCTAATGTAGGAAAAAAAATAATTCACTGCTTGTTTCGGAAAGCGATCGCAACAATGCTTATTCGATCGTTGTGATGAAGAAGTTCATTGTCTTCGTCCTAAAATAGCTTACTTATTTCACGCAAAATAGAACATCGTCAATAAAAATAAACTAACTATTACTGCTTAGAACTCACAGAAAACTCATCATCTTGTCCGATTTTGCCTTCGTTTACATTTATAGGTTGGACTTTATCTTCTTCAAATTCCTTTTCTACCTATAATCGATATAAGTTTATTGATTACCTCAACAGTGGCAGGATTCGTGGCTTTCAAGCAGATGCTGGTATAAAACAGCACCATAACTGCTGCAGCATAAAAATTGAATAACTAGAAAATTTTTTTTACACTATCCTGATTGTTGGACTCTTCATCGCGTAGAAGCTCGTCGGCAGAAATCGGCAGAAACTCAGATTCCTGGTAAAGTGATAATTTTTTTTTGAATTCCACGTACTACGACAAAAAAGTGCCATTTAGTTCAAGCTGAATGAGCATAACTCATACATAACTCTGCTTATGTGAAGTGAATACGATTATGGGTTATGCAGTGATTGGCATGGGTCAGTATATAAAAGACATAAAGTGTGGAAGTGTAAGGACTTTGGCCTTGACCAAATCCTTAGCGTTGATCAATGCATTCGATTCCATTTGTCGCACTGTAGAGATGAGTGAATTCATATTTGACCTAGACAGTGAGTTTAAATGGCCTTCCGATGTATCAAGTCAGTGTAAGAAAATGATCCAGCAATCTTGTGTGTTCCAGAGCTCCTTTGACCACTGAACCACACTCATGAAAACAGTGTTGAAATGTTCATCGACATGTCAGAGATCGAGGATTTCTTTAAGACCGGAATGTATCAGCAGTTTACTGCTAAAAATAGGCCGAGGTCATGGATTTCGACAGTCCATGTGTTTCTCTCGAAAATAACCTCGCTTTTAATAGTAGCTGTATTAAGAAACTACTCGGAGACCACGTTAACTGTTGCCACAATCCCATGGAGACGTCAACTGGATCCATTTAAAATGCGGTGAGAATTATCACTCATTCCACCGTAACCGTAAAATTCCCACACTAACTAAATATGGTACCTCGGATCTTTTCTCGTTATCGTCCCTGTTATCCAAAGGTTGTATGTCGTCTCTAAGCAAAATATCCTGAATTAAAACTATACAGTGTTATTGATATCTGCAGGAGCTCAAGTCTACAAGCTACTGGACACCACATTTTCCATGTTCATTGGAAGCTTGCAATAATGTTTTTCATGTTTTTCGATTAAATCAATCCCATATTCTGAAGGAGTACGAACCCTAATAAATTATGAAAGCACGCTTTATTTCTTTTCTGGATAAAAGGTAAACGGGAAATAAGTCTCACATCTCTGAACGCGAAGCTTCTTTTATAATATATGAACGTTGCGATTTCCATCTTTTTCTTAGTGCTTAAGAGTTCACTTTTCTGTTCGATGCCCTTTGTTGACACTTTTTGGTCAACAAAATGCCATTGTGGGAAATAATATTTTGACTCGACCGGAACTCGAGCACTCAGAAAATGCTCATGATAAGACGATGGCGTTGGGGTTTGTTTTCTTTCGACAGTGGAATACAAATACGGAAGAATAGAGTAGATCAACAATAAGCGAAAGTTTTCACCTCCTTTCCTCTATAAAAACGAATTACTGAGAACGAAGAAATGTGCTATGCTAGAGAATGGGAATGAAAAAGTGAAGACTAACACTGTAGAAGTAACAAATAATAACGAAAATATTAGCTATTTGCTGAGCCTAATTGGCTTATGTTCTACAGCAATCTCGATTTTCATTGTTGATAAAAAAAGCCACGATAAAACTGGACCATAGGAGACGTTTGCTATGATTTTATGTGGTATACGTGCGCATAATATGTGTAGGCAGACGTGTGTTGATGAATGCATGTATGTATGTATGTATGTATGTGTGTATGCATATATGTATGTATATACGTATATATGTAATCATGCATGCATGTGTCTGTGTGTGTATGCATGTGATGTATATGTGTATACTTTTGTGTTTGTGCGTGCTTGCGCGTGTATGCCGTGCGTGTTCAAGTGTTCATGTTATATATATATATATATATATATATATATACGCATACATAGAATCCATATATAAATACATATGTCTGTATGTATGTATTTATTTTCGTTTCTATCTTTCAGCTTTGCCATCATTTTTTGTGGTTCCTATCATAGGGAGTACCAAATGTGGAATCCACTATGGCACCCTTCGCTCACATGCCTCGAATGTCTTCAAAAATAGCTCATTATCAGTGAAATGGATAGATAACAGTCTTAATTTGCAGGCTTTCACGTACCTTCCCTATAAGTTCTTCTTCAGAGGAAGGCAGAGCAAGTTGAATAGGAGCGAGAATATCGTTATCATCATACTGAACAGCATACTATATCAGATAATTAAAACACGCTACAAAGCATGTTAAACTTTCAGGAAATCTTATAAAAAGAGAAATTAATCACTGTAGAAATTGCAAACGCTTTGAAAGGCAAATAAATAGGGGCTGTTAACTTCTTAAAGACGCTGTTGAATAATTTTGGCTTATTGCCATATATGCTTTCATCTTTAACATAATCCTTTTTTGACTTTGCATGTTTATAGCCGTGGTGATACTAGTGACAACGAAAACAATAGGAGTGAAAAACCTTGACAGATCCTTGTGACTATGACCGTAATAACCCTAATAACAGAGCTAGAAGAACTAGCTGAGAGAAAGACGAAACGAAGAAGGCGCATGGTGTGATGGCGAACGCGTCAGGCCACAGAAAAGGTAATAACGTGTTCGATCCCCACCGCAGACACATGCGGTTCGGGGTTTTCCAAATATCTCAGCATTATAGAAGTTATATTCTACATAATCTCCTACTGCAAAAAATTGTGGTAGGCAGTAAATAAAAAGCTGACTAATAACTGAGTTGTAGTGATTGCCTAAAATGAACCAATGTAATCACCCGTCAACGGGATTGATCTGAGGAGCCCAAATCGGCATTGAACCCAGTTAAGCTGAGGATTAGTTATAATCACAATCTTAACCTTTTTATTTACTACCTTGTTCTTCTTAATGGCAGGGTATGTTGCGAAATATAACTCGTATGAAATGCTGAGATATTTGCGAAACTCCGGATCACAGTTGTATGCAGTGAGGAACGAACACGCGCTGTTGTCCTTACCGGGAAGGAGCGCACTTCACCACTACACCATCTGGGTCCTTGGTCTTACCTGTCTCTCAGCTAGTTCTATCAAATATCTCAGCATTTCATACGAGTTATATTTCGCAACATACCCTGCCATTAAGAAGAAAAAGCAGTAAATAAAAAGGTTAGGATTGTGATTATAACTAAGCCTCAGCTTAACTGGGTTCAATGCCGATTTGGGCTCCCCAGATCGATGCCGTTGACGGGTGATTGCTGATGGCAAAAAGATCGATAGAACTAGCTGAGAGACAGGCAAGACCAAGGACCCGGATGGTGTAGTGGTGAAGTGCGCTCCTTCCCGGTAAGGACAACAGTGCCTGTTCGTTCCTTACTGCATACAACTGCAGTCCGGAGATTTTTCAAATATCTCAGCATTTCATACGAGTTATATTTCGCAACATACCCTGCCATTAAGAAGAAAAAGGCAGTAAATAAAAAGGTTAGATTGTAAACCAATGTACTTAGAGGATTTATATAACTTTATAGAGTTATTAAAACGAAGAACCAAATAATCTAACCTCTTCATCATCATATTCGTCATCAGTCGGCAGTGGTGGTAGAGTTCGTCGGTCAGGAAGCTCTTCGACATCGATCGCCTTCAATTGGGTATTACAGTTTGAAACAGGTGATTTTATTTTTTCCATGATCACTGAGCTGCTCTCAGCCAGATTCTCAACTTGATACCATTCCATTCTGTTCCACGCCTAAGAAGCATTTTCCACCTCTGGTATTTCAAAAATACTAAACAGATATGGAATCGATGGAAAGGTGCCAGCTTCTACCCCTGGACTACTAGTATGAAAGTACAATTCTTCCAACGCACAAATTTGTGCCACTACTATATCGTTATGTCATTCATATTATTGTATATTCGTAACCAGTGTGTATAATCTGCTTTATTATATATGTTGATAGAAGAAGTGGGTATGACGAAAATGCTCAAAGGCTCGAATAAATAGCACTCCACAAGCGATTCCTGTCCGCCTGTCATAAACCATATTTGTAATATAGTTACTCTTGATACTTGAATGATTCGGCCAGCCTTTGGAAAACGAAAAGAATGGCTGGCATCTAGTATAAACACAAATCTGATTTGACTAGCAATTTAATATTTAGGCAAGCTATTCATTACTGGGAGTGTCGAACGCCGCGTTATGCTTGTCGCAGATCGTCACCGCTCACCCACTAGTGGCTGTGGCGAGGAGTGCAATTCTCCGCATATTTTTAGCACACCCGTCAGCAACAGAGAGACCACAACAATCTTTCTTAGCGATTCTTCACTGAATTGAAAAATCGAACATAAACGTGAGAACGCATACTGAACAGATTGATCGTTAACATTCGAAATAGTGAAAAAAATCTTGATCAGAAATCAACTTATCTCGGTGTTCTCAACGAAACAAACAACTTCGATAGTGATCTAAGTGAATACGATTCCCTTCATACCTCATCAATGACTTTGTCATCGACTACAAAAATTGAGTCCACAAATTTCTTTCCGAATTTCTTCACAAATTTCTTTTCATCGCCCGAGCTACGATACCGCTTGAGTATGCACCTAATACTGAAACCATATAAACTCTTCACAAGCGTTTGATACTTTATAAATAAGCCAGGAGAAAAAGCAAAATTAAAAAACCCTCACTAGTAATCCACATTCTTCTTCACATTTGTGGCTCCACACTTGCTGCATACCGTATTTTGAAAAAGTGTACATCGATGACTGTAAAGCTTTATCTCTTGAAAACAAAGAATAGGCAGTGAAAACAAAAAGAGACAGAATGTTCATTATTGTTCATATAGCAGGTAAGGAATAGAGCAAAAATATGGAAGGATACATTCCTTTGAATATAAAATAATTACGCCACTCTTTCCAGTTTTGAGTTTTATTCTCAGCGTTGATAATTCTTAGGTGTCAACACAATGTATTATCCGTTCTTTACAGATTTTAACATTTATCTACTGGAATGTTTTGGAATGACAGCCGATAGTCGATTTTGGGAAATTTATTTGTTAAGTAATTGGACCACTATCGCGCTACAGATCGCTGCATAGCTGGTAGCTTCTCCATAAGAACCAGGATACTGTCTCGATAGTGTCAGGAGTCATTTCGTTTCAAATTATGTTATTCAAAAAATATCTATGAAATTCTATCACTGTCAAGTATTTCTGGAATATAATAAAGAAAACAGGAAACGAAATGTGTCTTTTAGTTGTAAGTGAGAAGAAATGGTCGATTCCGTTCTCATTGATGTACACATCATTTTTCAGCCATCATTTTAACAAAAAGAAACCAATTTTTAAAAAAGGTTTTTTTTGTTGGTAATGTACGACTTAAAAACTAGTCAGGATTGTGAATTTCTTGGGAGAAAAATTAACATAGAGATTTCAGGTGTCGTAACATAAGCGATCACCTCTCAAATTGAGCGTGTGTGCATTCTGCGCATGATTCGCATTGTTCAGTATCTTCGTTGAAGAACTTCCCCTGGAAGGAAGTTTTCCTTACACGATGTTACCACGGTCTGTTTGACAGAAAGCAGTCATACGAATGCTGAGTTATCTACAATCGAACGAATTTTTCTGTTGACAATCGCTTCATAGCGACTCTCATTGATTAGCAAAGACATGTAATCAAATTTGCTTCAGAAATAGGCATTCACTTGATAATATTACTAACGACTGTTTGATTTATCTAATAGATTTAAATACCTCAGAACAGAGTTGTTGTACACCAACGGAATAGGCGTTGATCTGAATCATTAATAATTAAATAGGAGCAGAGGAAACCACTACTAAGTACTTGGGAAACGCGGTACGCAAGCGAACAACAGTATATTCACATCACAGAAATAATGGCGAACCACTGTTCAGCAAATGCTTGACTCACCACATCGAAGGAGAAGGCAATGACGAGCAACGTCGTCGTCGTTGCAAAGAACGAATTCATTGGTCTTCACTTCAGAAAGGTTTGCCTATCTGTTGTTGGCTGCTTATATATGACTGATATAAGGGAATTCGGCGTGATAACACCGCAGCCGAAAGCACGTCGAACATGAATGTCCGTCCGAATGCACGACCATTGTCGAATCATCGGGAAATTTTGCACACAGCATCAATAGTTGTCCATTATTTCAAGTGATAGCAGTTTCCCAAAAATCTACTCTTGTGATTAACTCCTCATTCTACATTTTCTTACCCTCCTATCCACCCATTTATGTTGTTGAAAGTATTACAAATCTTAGTGAAACTTTTTTCCAACATTTTTTGCTAGCGTTATACCTAACTCGCAAGCATCGATTGGAGTACATCTACAGTCTATCATGTAAGTTCCCACAATTTTTTTTTACAAAAGATAAAACCACTAGTTGACATGTAGTGCACCAGCTGTAAGTGCTCCATGGTGACCGGGGCGTTTTTTATTTGGTACTGATGACAATGGAAAGTTTCGGCACCAATTTTCATTATGCGTTGAGTTCTAATTATGAATTCAAGTTGAGAAATAAGCACGTTTCCACTAAACACCTCATCTTTTCTAGTAGTTTTCATTCCGTCTCAGAGTTTCAACATTTTCTCTTTCACTCAATAAAAGTAGGTTAAAAAATATAAACAGAAACCCGGCCAATAACCATCCAATAGCTCGACGTTTATAGTCCATTCCTTTTTTCAGAAGTTTTTTTCGCATTTATTTTACACGTACTTCTACCATAGTTATTATAACTTTTCCAATGCTGGATAGTATTTACCTTGTAGAAGAAACTAATAAAGTAGTCATATCTTAGCCAAGAGTTCTAATATTTCACGCAATGCTACTGCCTACAATGCTTCATCCTAGTTTTAATGCAAACTCTCATCAAGTTCCAACGACCGCACCGATGAGGCTGCTCCGACTTGAGCGACGCTTTTCAATGCTTTCTCGAGTTATTTGACGATTAGCGGAATTGCTGGTGGAAAACGAACCACATGTAAACACCAGTTATGCTCGACATCATTTTTCGATACACTTGATCGCCTTCGAATTAAAAGAGAAAGATAAAAATATACGTATTCATGCATGCTCGATTGGTTTGGCCCACAGACCTTTAATCTAATGACTAAGAAGTATATGGGATGCAGTTCGGAATCGCTTCTAACGAGCAAGCTCCGTACGTAGACATTGAAAAGACCACCGAGTTTGTGACTTTATCCAACCACTACTTAAGATACCAGGAAGTGACTAGTGAATATCGCCTCTCGAAAACCGGCTTAAATGTCGCGCATGCAAAAGTTAGATCTCTTTCATCAACCTTGGATAAGCAGCTTTACAAATCCATTTACTTGAACGAACCTCCTTCACGAACTTCGTGGATCTCAGCACATTTGCCATTCGTTTGTTTCCTTCGCAAATGCCGTCCATGGTGGTGGTTTGATTCGAGCATGATGGCAGGTGCAAGGCTCAGACTGGGATCTGTAGAACATCGGCAGCTGGGAACACAGTTGATTGGCTTTAGTTACGAACATGTCGGGCGCATGTGGCGCAATGGTCGAAGGTGCCCTGCAGTACACATTGGATTGGATTGAAATCGGTAAGTCGCTGCGAGTCATGTTATTGTAAAGACTAGATATGCATTCAATTTCCTCCAAACGATGCTTATTGAAGTCGAATGCATGGCTCATCCTTCAGAGATTGATCAACGCCGAGAGCTTTATCCTTTATATTTATACGAACATGTCCGCCCAACGTATAGGTGGCCGTCCTAAGGGATGCCTGCATCCTCGTGGAACCTATCTGCAGTTGTTTTCGTCCATATTCGTCTGTTTTCCTCATTCGACTTATCCTAATCAACTTTATGGCAAAAGAACCAGAATTAAATTCAATTTGGTGATCCCACTAAACAGTGACAGAATTATAACGTTCAATATACGTCTGTTTCCACATTTTTATGCGTCGGCAGTACGGTACGCCACGCCTTAGTCACCACGATGAGCTCACTGCCCCATGATAAACATGAGACACTCAGGAACTATTTACGAGGAGCAACAGCTGAAAATTATGTCCACAAATTTTAGTTCTTTCTTGAAGGGAACCTCGAGATGGTGAGTTTTCCACAATTCCTGGAGCAAAGGGTAATTTCGAAACCGCAGATTACGTCGAGACCAATATTGACCACAAGAGGCACACAAAGCAGTGAAGAACCAAAATCTTTCGTTTTCGAGAAGAAAAGTGAATATTCGTCGTAGCCGAAAAAGTCAGTAAAAAGACTGATATAATCTAAGTGGTGTACAAGACTTGTGCAGCTTCAATGGGAAAATCCCGTCATGAAATCTGTCAGTTACTAAAATCGATTCGCCAACTGAGAAAATCTTTCTCTTGCATAAGCAAAATCTACGTACGTGTGACTTACGTATGGCCAGTTCCTTGGAAGAATACCGTTTAGTCGATATAACTGGAATACTTCGGAGCCCACGTCTAAAAGAAGAATCCTTCTGAAGCACTGCGCTCTGCTATCGAAATTTTCTCATTTTTCAGTTTCCCAATAAAAAAGTATTCATTATTTCCATATACCCATTAAGAAATATCTCATACCAGTCAACTTCTAGCGTAAACGAGGAAAAGCTCATTTAAACAGAAACCAAAGGCAACGAGCCTCGGCATCTACCTCTGTAACTTTTGAGAACATAATGTGTTGAACATAAACGAGCTGAACTAAACTTAATGTTCTTCTACATTGCACCAATCATAAAACTGATAAAGGGAGATTTCTACCACAATCCTTATCTCTTCAGACCCACTTCAGCAAATAGTGACTTAACTGATCAACGAAGCCACTTGCTTTCCTTCTTTAGATGTCCGAGTTACGGTGGAGACTGTGAAGAAGAACAAAGCACTATGACTAAACAACATTGTGATCTACCTTCGAAGTGATGAATCGTGCTCACTTTTTGCCTCACTGAGAACGTATGTTGGTGTGGCGGGATGCATCTGAGACTCTTCCAAGAATGATCGGTGGTTTGATGACCAACTGAGATTCCAGGTTTTGCCCATACCTCAGCATCTTTCTGGTTGTTTTCTAAATGATACCCTGACCTGAAAAAAAAACCAGCAGTAAAAAAAGTGTTAAACATTGTAAGTTGCCAGAACAGTGGACCACCAAGCGTACTGTTGTCGTATAGGAAGCTTGCCGCAAATTTCCGCTGAAATTTTCCGATCCACTTTCCAGGTTTCAGCAAGCTTAGAAGACCGCTGTTCAATTGCGGTTAAGTAAGCGTTTAAACTTGGGCTCAACTTCCAAAGAAATGGGCTTTCCAAAAGAGCTATTATATAAAACATTTCAAAACGTCCTTGTTAATTATAGTTTCTTGTGCGTGGTGTCTGCCGTTTGCGCTCACCTTTGACAAGAAATAAGCGTCCAACAACGTTGAAGCCTTCACGGTACAAGAGATAATGCATGTCATACCTGCGACACTGAAACAATGGCTACTAAAATGTAGCCGGCACACAACATACGAGAACCTTTGTGTGTTCAGGTATCCATCTATCACTAATCATAATAAGCCATTCGCGTGACTTAAGGAGACAATAATAAACTATAGAATGGATCTATAATACTGATAGAGCGCTTAGAATTCGCATAGAGTGCATTTTTTAGAGTCAGTTGAACTAAATTAGCAAAACGAGACTACCAACATTTAGCGAATTATACTCTTCTAACAGTTCAGTCAAGCTGAATGAATTCAATTCATGACATTGTCTCCTTTGCATCATTTCAACGTCTGCCTTTACGTTTGAAATTTGCAAATATTATTCAGTGAAGGCACAACAAAATTGAACGAGTCATATCAATCTAAACCTTAAGGAGGATTTACCCAACTCTATAAGCAAAGAAGTTATGACCGATAGTTAAACAGGTCACCATCCCAGCATCGATATTTGTTCCAATACCCATAACACAATATTGTCACTAATACAGAACTGGTGCGGACGAGGTTCTCCGCATCATCCTTCGTTACTATCTGGAACGAAATCAGCACATCAGCACATCAGCACATCTCATCAGTAAGGATACATTTGAATGAATGTTTCATGGGAATTGTCTTAACTCAATCGCTGAACGAACGTTACCTTTGGCGCTACATTCCCTATTCTTATACGGGGGTAGTGAGGGTAGAGGGTAGCGCAGTGGTTAGCCATCAGAAAGCAAGGTGCTGGTGCGACCCTCTTCCAGCGCTCTCCGTAATCAAAGTTGGTTCGCCTTAGCCCGACTATATCCAAGATTGTAAAGGAAATCGACTCCACCAGTATTCTACGATATCCATAAAGATTACGAAATTCTTAAACAAGAGCGAAACAACTTCGAAATGTTCGAAAACCTTTGTGGACGATGAATGCTAGGAAAACGAAACGAATTCGAGACATACTAGGATCCGCAAAGTATATGTGAAAAATCATGTAAAATAAGGTAAATAAATAATAAGGTATACCCATAACGATACTGAGATATTTGTAAAGCTCGGAACCCTAGTCCAGCTTGGTGTCAGTGATTCTCTTAGGCTCACATTTACCCAATGTACCACCGAGACCCCTGCTTTGCCTTCCTTCACTCAAATTTCCTTGCTTTCTAGCCCAACGTTTCTATTAGCACTCTTAAAAAGGAATAATCTGGACAGCACAAGTCGACATTAAGTCCAGTTAGGGTGAAGTTGCAGCCGAAATCACAATATTTGCTTTTTTCATAACGGGCTATTATGCGAAATATAACCACAATTATGCTGAGATGTTTGCA